TCCCAGAGTGGTCCCAAGTGGGTGGCCACCTAGGCTCTTTGTCAGGGGTAATTCATATAGCAAAATCACAGCATGAGTACAATGTGGGTCAGACTACAACCAACCCATAGGATTACTAGTTGCTTAGCTAACAGTGATCTAACAAGGCTGGGTCATGTAGCAAGGGTGAAAGGAAAGAACAGAGGCATTCTTGGAAAGGGAGCAGAGTATGGGTCCAAATGTTTTTGGTCACCCATCTGTGTCTGATGCCTAGGGAGGTCCACTGGGCCAGGTGGTGCTAATTACAGTATAATCTCAACTTAGCAGTGACATTATCTTGTCTTGGGCTTTTATTTGTTAGGTTTGTGGTTGTTGTGGAGGATCATTAGGAATATTTTGACTACTCATCCAACTAGGAAGGAGCTGAGTTACAGGTTTATTAGATTTTCAGTTTCCTGTGATTAAATTTTGATAGGTTGTGTGTTTCTAGGAACTTTTTTTTTTCTTTTTTGTCTTTTTGAGATGGTCTCACTATGCAATTCAGGCTGGGCTTGATCTCACTTTGTAGCCCAAGCTGGCCTCAAACTCACAATAATCCTCTTGCCTCAGCCTCCCAAGGGCTGGGATTACAGGCGTGCACCAGCACGCTGGGTGGAACTTTTCTATTTTATCTGTCAGTGATGGCAAACCTATGGCATGTATGCTGCAGCATGCTGTTTGTATCACTAAAAGCTCTAAAAGGTTCGCAATCACTGATCAAGGTTATACAATTTGTTGGGACACAATTTTTAGTTTTTTCTCTTTTTCTTTTTTTTTTTTTTTTGAGACAGGGTCTCACTATGCAGTTCAGGATTCAGGCTGGCCTTGAACTTACTATGTAGCCCAAGATGGCCTGAAACTTGCAGTGATTCTTCTGCTTCAGCTTCCTGAGCACTGGGATTACAGGTGTGAGTTACCAGCCCCGTTTAGGATTTTCTCCTAATATTTTTTATTTATCTAAAATAAATGGTAACGTTCCCTTTGTCAATTTCTGATTTTAGTTAGGTTTTTTTCTTCTTTCTTAATCTAGCTGTTTATCAATTTTGTTGATATTTTCAAAGAACAAATACTTGGTTTCATTGATTTTTTTTCTTTTTTTTTTGGTCTTTTTCAGACAGGGTCTCACTATGCAGTTCAGGCTGGCCTTGAGCTCACTTTGTAGCCCAGGCTGGCCTTGAACTCGCAACGATCCTCCTGCCTCCCAAGAGTGTTGGGATTACAGGTGTGTGTGCTGCTTTCCTCTCATTATTCAGAGTACATTGTGCAATTTTTTGCTGTACATAAGAGCTGGAATCTGGAGGCTGCATCACAAGTTACTTTCCTCTTTGCATTGCTTTTACTACATTCTGTGACTTTTGGTAAACTGTGTCCTTATTTCATTTGTCTCTGAATATCTTCTAGTTTCTCTTGTGATTTTTTTGGTTCTTTGGTTTTTGAAGAGCGTGTTGTTTAATTTCCATGTATCTGTGGGTTTCCCAGTTTTCCTTATGCTGTTAATTTCTAGTTTTATTTAATTGTAATTAGAAAAGACAGTGATTTCAAACCCCAGTTCCACTTTCTTTTTCCTTCTTTCTTTCCTTCCTTTTCTTTCTTACTGGAGAGTGAACACAGTTCCTCCCCACCTTTAAATTTTATTCTGACACAGAAGCTCTCTAAACCATTAAATTGCCCAGCTGAGCATGAACTTTCCTCCTGCCTGCTTCCCAGACTGAATGGATTATAAGAATGTGCCACTGTGCTTGGTTCTATTGTTATTATTTCTGAGGCATGTAATATAACTGCCATATACCTCGATTTCTTCATCTGTCATAGGAGTTAAATAATAGTTGTTGAGGATTAAACGAGGTAATAAATGAAAACAGCTTAGCGTCCTTCATGTGCTAATTGTGATAGAAGTACTACCACTACAATCTTAGTCTCACATTGTAGTATTCATTATTAATATAAAACTCTTATAATCCATAAGAATTATAAGAATCACCCATATGTTGATTTGTAATTTTCTAACACTGGGTATCCTACTATTCCATTCAGCTATCACACTATTCATAGGTACTGTAGACTTCACAACTGAAGGGCTCAGTCCCGTAAGACTGCCTTCATAGTCCCAAATCTGGGGACCTACCCACAGATCTGATTTAGTGGCTAAAACTTCATGGTTCTAAGAATCCCCTGCTCAACTTTGATTATTTGTTGGAATGATCTGCAGAACTCAGAACACTTTACTTATATGTACCACTTTATTATCCAAAATACAAATGAATAGTTGGATGAGGCAATATTTAAGGTCAGAGGATCCCAACCACAGGCATCTCTGTCCTTCCTAAATTGCAGTATGTCCCTGGATGTGGGTGGAGGTACTCAGCAAGGTGGATCTCACTGATGATGAGCTCAATGTTCAGTGCCCTCACTTTTCTCTGAGACTAATGGGTGAGACAAAAATCTGGCCCTCTATTCACTCCATCTTCCTGGTGACCAGCCTATCCTGCATAATCTAGCAACTCCATGCTAAGTCACCTCTTAGCTCAGATTCAGTTGTGATTGAAAGGGGCTTGTTATGAACAGTAAAAGGTGATCCCACCACTCCAGGAAATTCTAAGGGCTTTAGGTGCTCTGTGTCAGAAATCAGGGACAAATACCAACCTTTTAATTAATTAATTAATTATTTTAGTATAGAGGATTGAACTCAGGACTTTTGCACTGAGCAACATCCCCAAGCTTTTTATTTTTCATTTTGAGACACAGTTTCACTAACTTGCTAAGTTACCCAGGTTGGGCTCAAATTTGTGATCCTCCTCCCCTATTCTCTCAAAAGGGCTAGGATTACAGGCAAACACCATTACACCAATCTCTAGACACATTTTTTATAGCACAACTGGAAAGAAGTGAGATGACTTAAGGTTTCTTAGGGCTGAATGACTACTGGAGGGCTGAATGACTACTGGAGGGCTGAATGACTGCTGGGTTTTTGTTTATTTCCTTTTTCTTTTGAGACAGGGTCTCACTGTGTAGTTCAAGCTGGGCTTGAAATCATTATGTAGCCAAGGCTAGCCTGGAACTCCCTGTGATCCTCCTGCCTCAGCCTCCCAAGTGCTGGGATTACAGGCGTGTGCCACCGTGCCTGGCCAACTGAGACTATTTTAAGTGTGTCAGTCTTATCTTTTTAACTAGACCTCAGAAAAGGCAATGACATCAAGTTCAATGATTTACCTAGCATCACGCACTGTAAAAAACAGGTACTCAAGTGACTGCTATGTTGTAGTAACAGTAAATCCTTACATTCATATTAGCTTTCATGGTTTTATTAAATTGTTTCAAGTGCATTATCTACGTTGAACTTCATATACTTGGAAAGATCTCCGTTTTACAGATGATCAAACTAAGGTCCTGAGATGTCAAGTTATTCAGTAAACACAGTTCACCAGAAGCAGAGATAATGCAAATCCAGTTCCTCTGATTTGAATTAGAACAACAAGAAGTTACCAGACTCCAGGACATGTCCTAAAGTTTTGTGGCTGTTGTTTTGAGACAGGTTTCTTGCTATATAGTTCAGGCTGGCCTTGAACTCCCTCTGATCCTCTGCCTCAGTTTCCCAAGTGCTGGGATTCGAGGCATGTGCCACCATGCCCGGTTGTGAACAACTTTATTTTTCTCCTCTATTTTAGGACATCATGTGGTGAGGCTGGAATACTATCCTACCCCTACCCCAAGTGTTATTACAAAAAAAATATTAAAGAACAATGAGTTAGGCCCTGTAAAAGTTAATAGGTAAATTTGAAAGTGCTTTCCAACACCGAGATCCTACAACTTTAATTCTGCCTAAATTCTTAGCTCCTAGTGATGTGAGATGTCTGTAACCCACTTTATAAGGTCTCAAAATTCAAAGCTATGTTAATTTGAAAGGAAGTATACATTTTTTTCCTCTCTTTTTTTTTTTTTTGCAGTGCTGGAGATGGAATCCTACTGCATCCTAGGCAAACATTCTATCACATTCTACCCTTTTTCTCTTTCTTAATAGCCTGTCTATACTGTGCATGGTATTACACACCTGTAATCTCAGCACTCTGGAGAATGAGACAGGAAGATCTTCAATCAAAGGCTAGCCTGAGTTACACAGTGTGACCCTACCTTCAGAAAAAAAAAAAAGCTTACGTTGTTTGTAATTATATAAAAAAAATGCCCTGGAATCCAAGGCTGAATGTGAATATTAAGCCTCAAACATTTAATGTCACCAACTATTTATTATTAGTAGTTATATAATTGACCTTTGGTTAATAATACTTTGTTTATTAATACTACTTTAGAGCTAGAGTTATTTTGTAATCTTTGCACATTGCCATACTGGGTTGAAAATCTATAGAACGACCATTACATGTCAGGCACTACGATAACAACTTAGGTTCGCACAGTTCGTTTTTCATTTTCTCTTCTGAGACAAGGTGACGCTGAACTCACTGTGCAGCCCCGGCTGGCCTCGCACTCAAGGTGAGCCTCCCGCCTCAGCCCTGGAGTGCTGGGACTACAGGCAAGCGCCAGCTTCACACTTTCTTAAAAGACAAAGGATCACTAACTGCACTTTGGGTCACTTGACTGGGAATCAAACTGAGCTCAAGCAATATAAATCTCACCAACTTACTTCCTCAACTTCAACGTGCAGCGATAATAAGTACGAGAAATTACACGTTTTTCAGTGGAGTTAAACAATGCAATTCTGTCGCAGTGACAGAAAAAATTAAAACCTCACCAGAATGGCTAACTTATAACTAGAACAAAAAAAAAAAAAAGGTTTCAACAGCAGAAAGTTACAAATACTGAAAAGAGTTTGACTCTGGGTTGCATAGCCAGCACCGGCACCCGGAGGGGGACGTTACCGAACGCGGGGTCGGCTCCCACAGCCTTCCCACCCCTTCACCCGCCAGGGCGCGGGGGCCGCGGCCGTCAGTCGCCGGAACGCTGCGCGGGGCACCTCGAGCGCCTCTCACCGGATTCGAGGCAGCATGGCGGCAGGCTCCTCACGGGACACACCGGGGGCCACGCCGGTCTTCTCGGGCTGTTCCAGCAGTGGGGGAAGCGGTTCACCCTGGGACGCTGGCTCCTCGGGCAAGAACAGGCCAGACGAGGCCGGCGACACACGCTCCGAGCGGACGCGCGCTCCGACCGGCGCCCCAGCCTCCGCAGCCCCGCGCCGCGCGGGAGACCAGGAGCGCAGGGCGG